GGGGACAAGCGGCGGGAGGCGCGGGGGGGGGGGGAGGGGGGCGGGTTTGGGGGGGTCCCGAGGGGGAATTGGGGAGGTTTGGGGGGTCCCGAGGAGGGAAATGGGGAAATGGGGAGGTTTTGGGGGTCCCGAATTGGGGAGGTTTTGGGGGTCCCGAGGGCGGAATTGGGGAGGTTTTGGGGGTCCCGAATTGGGGAGGTTTTGGGGGTCCCGAATTGGGGAGGTTTTGGGGGTCCCGCGGGGGAATTGGGGAGGTTTTGGGGGTCCCGCGGGGACAATCGGGGCCCTCCTCCTTGTCCCCACCGCCCCCCCGGCCCCGGGGGTCTCCAGCCCCCCTCGGGACCCCAAGAATTCCCCCAGTTCCCCCCGAGAGCAGCAGCGGGGCCACCTCGGGGACCCCAAAATCCGGAATTGTTCCCCAAAACCTGCAGCTTTTAATCCCCAAAATGAGGATCTTTCATGCCCAAAACTGGGGATTTTATCCCCAAAATCTGGCGGATTTTTTACCCAAATCTGGGGGATTTATCCCCAAACCCGGGGGTTTTTTACCCAAATCTTAGAGATTTATCCCCAAAACCTGGGGAATTTTATCCCTAAATCTGGGGGATTTATCCCCAAACCCGGGGGGTTTTTACCCAAATCTGGGGGATTTATCCCCAAAACCCAGAGGATTTTTTTTACCCAAACCCAGAGGATTTATCCCCAAACCTGGGTGATTTTTTACCCAAATCTGGGTGATTTTTTACCCAAATCTGGGTGATTTTTTACCCAAACCTGGGTGATTTTTTACCCAAACCTGGGGGATTTTTTACCCAAATCTGGGTGATTTTTTACCCAAACCTGGCTGATTTTTTACCCAAATCTGGATGATTTTTTACCCAAACCTGGGTGATTTTTTACCCAAACCTGGAGGATTTTTTACCCAAACCTGGGTGATTTTTTACCCAAACCTGGCTGATTTTTTACCCAAATCTGGGTGATTTTTTACCCAAACCTGGGGGATTTTTTACCCAAATCTGGGTGATTTTTTACCCAAATCTGGGTGATTTTTTACCCAAATCTGGGTGATTTTTTACCCAAA